GGGGCGATAAACACCATGTCAACGTCTGTTTGGTCGGATGGCCTACTGTATATCAGCCTGATAAATTGTCGGAAGGAGACAAAGATAAATTGTTTCTCGTTCCTGCCGTATGGATAACAAACGCTATGCCTACAGAACTCACTCGTTCCGTTGTGCCTTATGGGCTCTCTCTCTCGAGCCCAACTAGCAGCCGCACAACGGCACATGCTATAGGCAGAATGGCATTACCGACAAAGACAAGGGAGACTGGAATGGCCATTTCCGGCTTATTAACCGTCGTCAGCCAGTCATACCCAACCCCGAAGTGTTGAACACCCGAGGCTCGAACTCGCGACCTGTTAGTTAGAAGTCCACGCCTCTAACCACTGGGCAACGAGCCCGTTGCCCTGTCGGTTTCGATTGAGAATATACAAAACGCTATGCCCTTTGGCAGGACCGAACGGCCGCGCAGTTCCGCCCACTAAGCTGGATGGGAGGATAGCTGAACTCTAAAGCTTGTAGAACCTTCCGCCATGACCTCTAGTTATCTGCAGAAAACAAGTAACAGCCTTGTGGCAGTTCTCACTTCTGTGAGACCCGAGACCGTTAAACGGTAACTTCAAGCCAGCTACTGAAAGGCAGGCATAAAGCACATGGTTTCGTTTATCGGAATTCTAAATGATAATTCTGACTAATTCGGAATGCTATAAAGCATTCGTGGTCAGCAACCATTAGCAAGCGGTAAGCCGTCGGGTGCAAGCGATTTTCGTAGAAGCTGTCGTAAATGTAAATGAACATGACATCACAGTAAAGAAATCGAATAAGGTCTGTGCAGTGGACATGGTATTAGCCGTTGATGCTCCTGTACAGATTATCGTAAATAATGTTAAGGCATGGATCCGTTGCAGGAGATTGTTTTTAATAGATGGTCGATTTCAGACTACCAAATCTGGCACTTGTGTATGGTGCAGGCTTAATAACAACCCTCCCACTGGACCCTCGACATTTCCTCCATATAGGCGTTGTCAAGGTGTGTTACGCCTGCGGCTTCGGAGTTAGAAGTATCGCTTGCTGACGGCTAATGATTCTATAAACGTATGCATGACGGCTGAATGTGCTGCCGTTCAAATTTCCGCAAAGGCCGATAAATACCACAGACGCTGATTTATGGGAAGGTACGGAGTACAGGCATTTTGTATTATATGCCCCTTAGCTGGCCGTGTGATGAAACACTCTTAGGAAGTATTGCGGGGAATTATATATTGCAGTTCGTTGCATGCTGTTGTTTTATCCCATTCAAAAGCGAGTTTAAAAGTAAGCAGGAACTTGTTTGAAATGTTTTCGAAGAGGTTCATACGGCCATGATCAAACGGTGAATAACGTTCCGAAACTGTGAACATGGCGAGCAACATAGAAAAGCACGAACCGATAAACCCCTTATTGCTTGTTTACGAGAGTTACTTCGATAAACAAAAGTATTTCCAGTTGAAATCGGGTAAGTCTGTGACAAGTGGTTTGAGGACTAAGTGATGAAGTATCTTCCGTATTGCGCTCGTCGAGCGAGTTCAAACTTAAGCACTCGTCAACACCGGATAAATACCACCAGACAACTCAGTCGGTGAGGGGTGTGCGTGTTTAAATGTCACTAATCGTGAAACAGGCGAATTTCGTTCAGCGACAAGGTCAACGGCAGCGGGGCCACGTTTCACGCAAGTCCAGTCCTTATCGAACGTTCTTGGCTACCCCATAAAGTCGTCCGAAATTAACACTTGCGAGAGGTCCCTTGGTGTCGATGCTTTCTCTGAATTCTTACCAGTCCTTAGTTAAAAATGACAAATTTCGAAATGGGTACGGCCCCATTGTTATCGTCTTGCCACGTGGTCAATGATTGCCTACTTCCACATACAATGTCGCCATGTATGTTACTGTTTTCTGAGAATACATACGTATTTTCATAAGCGTGTTCACTTTTTACTCTGTTAACTGGTGCATTCCAGCTCACATCGTTATTCTTGAACCCTGCAAATCAAGCCCCTTACCCCCAGCCGAGAGGTTTAGGAAGGGCGCAAAAATGCATTCTGTATTATATGGGTCAATGGTGATATCGTCAAGTGTCTTTCCCTTTCGGTTTTTAGCCCGTCATTTCACAAAAGTCCTCAAATAGAGGAATAGGTCAAAGCAGGTCGGAAGGCCCGTCTGTCAATCAAACTTTAAGGGGCTGGATGAGGAAGCTCTGTAGATCACTTAAAGCCCCGGAAAACTTTACTACCCCTATTTAAGGCTTTTATAGAAGATATGCCCTTAGATCCAAGAAAATTGTTAGGGGCAACGACCACGTGTAATGCAGTCAAAATGTCGAGGGGACAGGATGTTCGCCTTGGCTTTGGGCGTCAGCTGATTAATACCGGCTCACCTAATGTGAGTAGTTTCAAACATAAACCGGAGTTGGTAGTGCACGTTGGTATATGTAGTAAACCGGTTAGTTGTAGGTCAAAGGGTGAATTTTGGCTCCTCTTAGGCAGATATATAGCACCGAATAGCAGCAGAGTGTTTGTTGTAGGCATTTACTATTATGTTGTCGTACTGCTGAGAAGTCGTGCGCGATATCCCCGAAGTTACATAAAATGTGTTGATTGCGGATGTAGGGCGAAAATGAAGAGATACGACTCCCGTCATTATCTGTTACGCACCAGCACGAGTTTTTTTTAAGCAGGTCATGGATGTTGATTCATGCAAAAGTTGAAAAAATGCACCCTTTTTGTGAATTTTCAGCCCACGTAGTATGAACTGGAAGCTGTCGCTGTCGGCATTGAGTAGCATTGGCACCAAATCACTAACCATGAAAAGATGTCGGCAAGGACCAAGTGTGCGACCTCACTCTGGACAAAAACCAGGTTATCGTGACATTGTGTCCTCGTCTTTTTCGTCATTGACGCCTCCGCATTCTTATAACTAGATGGAATGTAGTCTAGTTCTTTTGTGAAAAAACCTGGAAGAACTTAAAAAATATGCCCAACTCTTGCTTGTACAGTCAGGTATCTTGACACTCTCATCATTCCACGAGGACCGGGTTCCTGGTACATGTGCTCTTTTGCAAGTAGCTGCGGAGAAACCTGGCGTGAGGACGTCACATGCCGCCTCATCACTTATCCGGATGTTAACCTACTATCGCGCTCTCCTTTCCGTCATTTGGCCCCGCCCATGAAACTCATATTACACGACGACCTGCTTTTTGTTCTCTGAATGGGGTCGCATACTGCGTCCTTGCCAAGATGTTCTCCGCCCGAATTGACGCAACGGTCGGTAGACGTAGGGGAATACGACAGATGGAAGACATTGTGTTTACGGGTGTCCTTTGTAATATACTGGCCTCATAGGTGCTATTGCCGCTCTGGAGGGACATTTAAAGGAGTCTGTCTAAATAAGGGACATCCGTAACTTAATCGACTGCAGGTAGACGAGTAAAAATCAAATAAGCAGTTAGAAAACATAAATCACCAGTGGAGATCAAACCGGGCGAACAGTCGCCAGGAACGGCCTGGCCAGCTTCCGACAATTCGGGGTGCCAAAGAACCCACTCCAACCGCCTGATTCCTTGTAGCGACCGAAGACGTCAAGGATAGCACACTGGGATTAGATCCTGGCTAGTACCGATATGAATAGAGTCGTTAACGCATTACAATACTCATCCACACGAAAGGAAAGGAGAAACGTTAGGTGGACACAAAGGTATAATAAGAAGAGATGGAAACTGGTGATATATAATATAGTGGTTACTTGTTCAAACGGAGTGAGTTGTAGCAAAAGTGACCTGTATGGATGGTGAGGCGACACCGATACTCCTGATAGCATCTATTCGTCCGGGCTAGACATTTGCTAGCCCGTTTGATTTGCGGGCTGGTAAACTGATTGGCTGACGGTGCTTGGTCTGTGAGAGGAAAGGGACTTTTCTGCTACACCCCCTCCCCGATGCTCACTCGAGTGCATTTTGCAGGTCACGCCTGAGGGGTCCCTTTGCGCGCACGCACTTTGTCTGGAATTTTAGGCGCTCGTCTGGCGACTTAAATCGCCTCGGGCGGAAACGCCCTCAATTCGCCCAAGAAGGCGCGTCAACTTATTGTCCCCGTGGTGACAGTGTCTGCCAAGATTTGTGAACAAATCCTGTTAATCGCAACACTAGCGCGCGACTGGGCGAGTAGAATGCTATCAGGGATGTCAGCTAAATAATCGGTGGGGAACACGGCGCTGTGGGAACTGCATGGGAGGGCCGAGTGCGGTGCCAACGTAGAGTGGCG